AAGCACACAAGCTGCACATACTCTGATTCAGCTAAATCTGAAGAACATCCAAGACTCTGAAGATCCAGAAGATCTCTATTCTGGAGACTCTGAAGATTCAGATTCTATTGTTGAAAGCTGAACTTACTTTGAAGAAGATTTAAATATGTACGTTGGTTTATCTCAACAGCTCTTTCCTATTTTGTGCTAGACACAAGGACACAGACAAAAAGGTTTTATCTGTGCATTCCATTCTGAGGAAAGTTTTCTGCAAGTGAAGACAAAAGGCATTAGGCTTGTTTCATCACAGCCTCCAATGTGAAGACAAAAGGCTTCAGGCTTTTCTGCACAGCCTTCAACGTAACAAGACTTCTTGGATCTTAGTGCCTATATAAAGAAGTCCACTCCATCTTCTTCAGTATCGAACTTCTAGCAAAATCACTCATCAAAGCAAATCTCTCAAAGCTCCTATTATTTTATTTTGCTTTAACTTTGTTCTTAAATTAAGAGAAATATCACAGTTGTGATAACAGCTTATTAGAAGCATTCTTACTCTTGTAAAAGTTTTACATTGTTTGTAAAAGGTTTTCCTTAAGAGGATCCAGTTGGGATCAGTTGCTCTTGAGAAGACTAAGAACAGTTGTTCTTAGGTGTTGCTATTTGTAATCTGTTTGATTTAAATAGTGGATTAAGTCCTTGACAGAGAAAGGCAAATCACTCTTGAGAGGGTGGACTGGAGTAGTTGTATTCAACGAACCAGGATAAAAATATCTGTGTTCAAATCTTTGATTTTTAGTCTTACTTATTCAACCCCCCCCTTCTAAGTAATTTTCTCACCTTCAATAACATCATCCACAAAACACACCGGTTATCCGCACCGTAGCACGAACTACGTTGCTCTGATTTCTCTTGCATGTTGAGAATACGTAGGCATAGGATTGCGACAATCCTAGCGAGCACCCTTTTATTTTTTCACCCTCTTTCCCAGAAAGGCATGCTACGTCCGTTCTACCGCAAACAGGTAACGCTTAAGTCTCCTCACATGCGAGCAGCAAAACACCTAAACTGCTAGAATGCGCATGATAGCATTGTCTACCAAAACTCCCCGCACACCGTAGGCCGAACTACGGCTGCTCTGATTCTTTACTTCGTTCAAGTAAAGATACGTAGGCACAAGGGCCACAATCCTTGCCGAGCACATCCCCCATATCTGTAGTTCCCCGAACTACGTCGACTCTGATTTTCTCACATTTATTGAGAATACGTAGGCCTAGGACCGCGAAGTCCTACCAAGTCTGTTCTTTCTCTCTTCTTCCCCGTTACCTCTCTTTCCCTATTTCTGACCCTTTATCTCTCTCCCTTTGGAACACACTTTTATAGCATAATATTTTAGCAAATATAATCACACGTCGACAAGCAAATGGTTCCCATCGAGTACGATGGATGCGAGGGGTGCTAATACCTTCCCCTCGCATAACCGGCTTCCGAACCCGTTCATGGTTGCGAGACCATCTTATCCATTTATTTCCTAAGGTTTTCTCAATATTTTCCTTTCCCCTCATGGGATAAATAAAGTTTGGTGGCGACTCTTCTGTCCTTCCTTTTCGCCTCCCCGTCGTTGCACGATGCATTTTTCGAGTAGCGACAGTAATCGAACTACGAAGCTCTGATTTCTCATTCTCGTCCGAATGAGCATACATAGGCACAAGGGCCCCAACCCTTGGCGAGCACTCTATCCTCTAACCACCCATCTCCCCTTAGCGTCTTAAACCTTTTACCCTACCAATTCTACCTTTATCATCGAGAAGAAAAACAAGTAAACCTAGACAACACTCTCCACAAATACCTTAAGAGGTTCCCGTCGAGTACGGCGGACGTGAGGGGTGCTAATACCTTCCCCTCGCGTAACCGACTCCCGAACCCGGAACATGGTTGCGACAGCCATGTTCCTATCCTTTCGTTTTAAGAGGTTTTCTCGATATTTTCCTCTCCCGTTTATTCGGGAAAAATAAAGTTCGGTGGCAACTCTGTCGAACCGCATTTCCGCGCCTTTCGCGCGAGGGTCGTGTCTCCGAAATGTCTCCGTGATTTTTCGAGGTGCGATATATATATATATATATATATATATATATATATATATATATATATATATATATATATATATATATATTGGGAGATATTGGATCGAACTTTAGTATAATTGAAGTCTCTTCGCAAGTAACGCGTGTTGTAGTCGAAGTTTGTTCTAACATGCATTAATCAATATTGCTAGGTTTGTTAGCATGTTGAATTGGGCCTTACTTGTAAGTCCAATTGTTTAAGTTAGCTTGTAATGAGTAATTGTTAAAAAGTTTATTAGATTAGTGTGTTATTTTTCTTATAAATAGCATGCTAGTCTCTCATCTTGTATAAGGAAAAATAGGAAGATAAAATCCTAATTCAAGAGAGAGAGGTTATTTGTTATTCTTGTATACTTGTAATCTTGTTTGATAGATAAAAGAAAGAATAACAGTTTATAACCAATCCTTGTTGTTTCTTCTTGTTCTTCTTTCTTGTTTTCTTTATTAACTCTAACCCTTGTGTGTTTCTTGATCATAAAGAAACCGTTTATATTTTATTTCAGGGAAACTTATTCACAACAAATTGGTACGGTGAGTATGGAGAAGATGTCTTCAACATATTATGAGATTGAAAAGTTTACCGGAGTGAACGAATTCGTTATGTGGCGTTTGAAGATGAAAGCTCTACTAGTTCAACAGGGTTGTTTGGAAGCGTTGAAGGGAGAGGCAGTCATGGACATTGTGTTAACGGCAAAAGAAAAGATGGTCATGATTGAGAAAGACCACAACACAATATTGTTGAGCCTTGGTGATAAGGTTCTTCGACATGTATCAAAGGAGACTAAAACATCAGAATTATGGGTGAAACTTGAAAGTTTGTACATGAAGAGATCTCTGGTGAATCGACTCTACCTGAAGCAAGCTCTATATTCATTCAAGATGAGTTAAAACAAAGTGTTGGCTGAGCAGTTGGATATGTTCAACAAGCTGATTCTTGATCTTGAAAATATTGATGTGAAGATCGATGATGAAGATCAAGCACTGTTATTGTTGTTGTGTGCTTTGCCCAAAATACATGCTCACTTCAAATAAACTCTCTTGTATGGAAGGGAGTCCCTGAGCTTTGAAGAATTTCAATTAGCCTTGTATTCTAAGGACTTGAACGAATGAAAGGAGCATAAACCTTCGACGGTGGGCGAAGGTTTGACCATTAAGGGGAAATTCTTGCGAAAGAATGATAAGTTCGACAAGAAGAAAGTTAAAAGTCAGCAGAAGTCTTATAGTGGTGAAACATTTGGTATTCAATGTTATCACTGTAAGAAGGAGGTTCACACAAGAAAGGTGTGCCCTGAACGCCTGGAAGATCATGGAGGTAAGGATAATGGTAATGCAACCATTATTCAAGATGACTTCGACTCATATGATGTTCTTGTGGTTTCAAGTGGCGACTCAAGAAAAGAGTGTGTCATACCCCAAATTTTACCCTCAGATTCTTTGTTTTCTTTTGTATATCATTTTAGGTCAATCATCATATTACATAACTAACCGAGTTTCTAGACTCTTTGTTTGCTTCATTTCTTTTATGAATCAGGTATTGGACTTCAGAAGCTTCAAAAGTGTTTGAATTAGGGTTGGATGAGAGGTTTTTCTTTTGAGTTGGAGTTCTATTGTGCAAAGGTTGTTTCTTTCAATTATGGTACTCAGGTTTGAGTTATAGGTGTTGGTTTTTCAATTGTCATGAGAAGTTCCTATCAGTGGTTTATCAGGGCACAGTTTCAGTCCACTGAGTGACCACAAGGGTTTAGTTTGCTTAAGATTCATCAGTGGTTTGATTGGGAAAGTCCTGAATCAGGATTCTGGAGAATTAGGGATTTCTTACCCTTGGAGTTTATGATTGACCAGTGTCGTTCAATTGAGTTTCGGCTGAGGCTAACAAGTTCAATGTGTATGCAATGGTTTACGGTTTAATTAATTTGTGACTTTAGTTTTTGTCAGGAAAAGGTATTCATTTCATTCAAGTTAGGTTGCTAAGCTCTTGAAAGTCAAGGCAATTGAATTGTGCGCAAGTCTTGGTGGTGACTCAGTTTCTTGTCATGATTATTTCAAGATAGAATCAAGATGTGGTGTTAGTTTCTTGTGGAAAAAAACTCTAAATTCCTAATCAAGTTTCAGAACTAATTCTTGACCACATGCCATATTTATTCCAGAATCCAAGTCCATTCCAAGGTCACAAATTCCATGACATTTTTGAGCCCTGATTCAACTTTCCAATTTCATTTCAAATCTTAATCTTTTTGTTAAATTCAAGTTCATCCGTTCAATTTCAATTTAGCACCTAACTCATGTGCCAATTTCATTCAATTACAACCTCATTTCAAAATTCTATTTCAATTTGATTCCAAAGTTCAATCTCAAACCGCCGAGTTTCTAATTCGGAATTCAATTTTCAAGGAAAACTCGTGTCCGTTCACAATTGTTTTCCTTTCAAGTTTCAATGTCAAATATTTTTGGTAAAGATCTCATTTACATGTTTATTCAAGTTTGATTCAAATCCAAGTTTTATTCAAGGCCCATGACCCTTTTCTTTTACAAAAAGATTGAATTCCAAATACAAAATCCTAAAAATAATGGAAACATTACAAAAAGAGCCATGCCAGACCACAAGTTACTACCTGTACATCTGCCACAACGTACAACACCCACGCTAGACAAAGCTTTATGTTGCTACACTCCAAATTGTACAACCATTACAAGCCTTAACATAAAAGCCTGCTATGCACGTTCTGCTGCACGCACCAAATTCCTCTACTACCAATTCGTAAAACATCATTGCAGCAAATAACAAAAAAAACCACACTACATTTTCACATGGGACCCATTTACAAAGACTTCACAAAGAAAAGGAAAAAGCTATGGTCAGTATCCTGCATTTGTCTGCAAGTCTCTTAAGCTTTCACCTATTCAACCAAATCGTACGATGCCTACATGACTTGCTGTGAAAGTTGTACCACAAAACCTGCTATGGGATAAAGCATCGACCTGCAAAAATAAAAAGCCAGGACATCAAGCAATGACGTTACAGCCTCACTATGTGCCAAGACCTGACCTGCAACCAAGCATAAAAAAGACCAGCACAATCCAGCTACTGAACCAAACAGGCTCCAAATTGTACACAACCGGAAGTGCTTACGAGCAAAACTCCAAAACAACTTCCACAGCCTGTTCTGCACAACAGTTAAAACTGCTTTGCCATTATGCTGAAACCTTCTGCTCACTGTGCAAAAAAGCCATACACAAATGCCAAATCCATGGCCAAAAACAGAACTAACAAACTCTAAACGTATTGCTACTTCTGCATCAACTTTACACCAACCAGGCAACTGTCAAAACCAGACTTCACCTTTGACCAAAGCAGTTCATCAAGCCAAAAACCATGCTCCAAATCCTGCTGCAACTTCATGCCTCTCCAAAATAAAATTTGCGAAGGAAAGAGACCACACAACAATGCAAGAACAAGTCCTGCCATGAAATCCATGATTGAACCCTTTAAACCAAAAGCCTGTTACAAAACCATATATAGAAGTTTCACCAAAAACATGAAAAAATTTACACTGCTATTGTTCTGTCAAACCTGCAAGGCACATACATCAGAAGAGCAACCATTATGCGTGTACATAAAAAGTTACCCAAGATGATGCTCCAAAAACTTGTACAAAATTCACTATCCTTCAAACAAGCTTTTGCCTGCTACACATCCATTTCCAGCAAAACATCCAAATACCACAAACTGCTCCATATCTGTAAGGCTTCTCTACTGCAACAACTACAGCAGGCAAAACAGATTTGAAAGCTACTCGTCATAACAACAAGACAAATTTGAGATAAAGACAGGTTGAATGAGAAATAGAGAAGGACAGATGAAATAAAAGGGGGAGAACACAAACCTCAGAGGAGGGGGATTCACCAACTCATCTTTTTCTGGACAAACTTCAAAAACTGCTATCTACAAACAGACCTTCAACCATTCTCAGACATTCCTCAAACATCTCTAAATCACCTTTTACATAAGGAATCAATCCCTCGCCTTCTTCCGATTTTTATTCTCCAAAACCAGACTGTCCTTCATCCTTCCATCATCTTCAAAAACAACAAAAAAACTTCCAATACACCACCTTCATCTTCTTCTTTTCAACCAGATAGATACCATACAACCACAAGCCTCACTCGGCCAAGCCGCTGCGGGATAAGAGAGAAACGGACAAGAGAGTGACGAGAGGGATCGGGGGGAGAGCTTTGTCTTCTTCGTGTGATTTCGAGAGAAAAAAACGAAGAATTTTGTGTGAGGATTTAAGCTTCATCCATAGTTGTGATAGAGAGCGCGATAACTTAACAAAAGGGGAGTTCTTCCAATAACTTCTATTTTGAAAACTCATAAACAGAGATGAACCATCTCCAACTTCCATTCTGGCCACCTTGATACATTGACGACAACCTCACATCCTTCTTCGTCCCTTTCAGTCCACGTTTCTTTAACTCTTCTCAATCTCCTTTCAATCTGAACCATCGCGTCATATACCAAACAATAACACCTTCAGTTTCGTAATGTTAAATCCACCATTTCCAATTCACTTTCCACTCTTTTCGTTGAACCACCGACCATCGTGAAACGCGAGAAATGCAAGAGAAAGAGGATAAGGATTAAGAAGAAGAAGAAACCGCGAGCCACAAGAGTGAGATTGAGAAATTTCTGGCGTGAGAGGAAGATTGATTTGAAGACGGAAGAGCTGGAAGTGACGGGAATTAGGGTAACTTTTTTCCTTTTCTTTTTGTTATATGACGTTGCTGTTGGTGCGATGGGGAGAAGGGGATTTTGGGATTCCTTGTTTTTCTGTTCATTTCAAAACGAGTTTTTTTTGGGATGTGTTGGGCTCTGTTAAGCCCATGACCATTGCTAACAATCCCTTGCCATTAGTTAACACCTTTTTTTATATAGTTTAATTAACTATTTGTTTTTCTTGTTAATTAGATTTTAATTAGTTAATTTCGGTTAATTAGTTTTTTTAACTAGATTAGAGTTTAACTAGTTAATTGGTTTTTATTAATTAGAATTAGTTCTTTTAGTTTTATATATTTAGAATTGATTTAGTTTAGTTTTAGTTAATTAGTTCATTTAGAATTTAATTTAGTTTCTAGTCAGGATAATAATTTAGTTTTAGTTAGAATCATATTTTAGTTTTTTTAGGTAGATTAGTTAGTTAATTAATTAAATTTTGGTTTAGTTTGATTTTATTTTAATTTAATCTTGACATTTCCATTTTTATTAGTTTGGTTGTTTGATCTAATCCTTGTTGCTTTTGGCCGTGTATAATTTATGATCCTTGACGTTGTTTCCCTTTTGGCTTTTAATTTATTTAATTGCTTATATATTCCAAAGGAAAGGACCCCTTTGTTGACTGCCATGTCATTTGTTAGCCTAACCTTAGATCTTTACCCTTTATCCTAACCATAGGACTTGGAGTCGCCGTGCTCTATTTAGTTGTCCCGCTGTGGACATTTCCTTCCTTTATTCTAGCCTTAGGATCTGAGTCGCCGTACTCATGTTTAGCGTCCCGCCGTGGATATTCTCTACTATAACGATCTCAATATAGATTCAGGAGTCGTCGCACTCCATGTAAGTACTTCCCTATGAATGCTTACATCCCCTTGGAACCTTGACCACAGTCAATAGTTCCTCACCCCTAGTTAGGGGAACTACGGTTGCTCTGATTCCATTCCCGTCAGGATACGTAGGCACGAGATGCGATGTCTTGACGAGCATACGTTGTATATGCTTTATATCTTTACCTTGACACATTTTCCCTTAGCAAGCAACTTTAGCATAACACAAATATTAATAAGAGGTTCCTGTAGAGTACTATAGATGTTTAGGACGTGAAATACCTACCCTATGCATAACCAACCCCCGAACCTTTAGATCTCTCTTTGCTTAGCTTTAGGCCTTTCCTTTTGCTTTGAATTTTAATAGGTTTTTCTTTCTTTAAACCTTTCCTTTTTGGATAAGTTAAAGTCCGGTTGTGCATTTAAGAATTAAAGATTCAAGTTAATCAATAGCTTGATATCACGATTCTCACCGCAACATAGTGGATTATGGATTCAGGTTGCACTTGGAACATGACTCCAAATAGAGAACTGTTTTAGGAGCTATGTGATCAAGATGGTGGATCGGTGTTGTTGGGAAACAACAAATCTTGCAAAATTGCAGGTATTGGATATGTGAGATTCAATCTCCATGATGAGTTAATAAGGTTATTAACTGAAGTCAGGTATGTACCTGATTTGAAGAGAAATTTGATTTCTCTTGGTGAATTCGACAGGAAGGGATGTGTTTTTCAAGGAGAGAAAAGTATCCTAAGAGTCATGAAGGGTGTTGCGGTGAGAATTGGATATCAAGCTATTGATTAAATTGAATCACAAATCATTATTCACCATCGGTCTTTAATTTGTCCAAGGGAAGGGAAAAAGATCGAATAATCCATGAGTATGCAATGCAATGCAAAACTAGAGAGTTTAAGGTTCGGGGATTGATTAAATTTAGGAAAGGTGTTAGCATCCTAAGCATCTGTAGTACTCTACAAGAACCTCTTGTTTTATTATGTTATTTTTTTTGCTAAGGATAGGATACCTAGGGGGTTTATTTCTAAGTATGTTTGCTAAGAAGTCGTATCTTGTGCCTACGTATCCGAACGGGAGTGGAATCAGAGCATTCATAGTTCCCCTTAAGGGTTAAACAAAGTAAAAGGAAAATTTTGGTTTTTAGGAGAATAATCAACTTAAACCACCACAAACATGTGGAAGATGGATCTTTGCTTCACATTAAGAGAAGGGCTCTAACTCGAATATAGAACCGACGAGTATGCCACATACCTCTCTCAAGTGGAAAAGAATCTACATCTTTCTCAAATATGTCATGGGGTAGGAGAATTATATCTCGAATAAGGATGACTCATGTCTAATTCTCTCATGGGAGAAAAGAGAACCTAATTATAGGTTGTCTAGTTAACATCTGAAGGGAACTAACCTAATTCTATAAAACTAAAATAAGATTGAAGGGGAAAGCTATCTTATTATTGTCATGCAGAGGATTTATCTTAAGACCTAATCTGATTCAATTTATCAGAGATGAAGTTGAATTATGGGCCTACGCTTAAATAGGTTAACCATCTTAATTAATTTAAAATTTTAGTCTTAATAATATTTATTATAAAAGTATTAGTTAATTATCATAATTTAAACTAATTTGACTAACTAAACAAGGTGTTATGAATTAATTTACCTAAATAAAATAATAACAATAATTAAAAAGAATAGGGTGTGATTTAAATAAAATTAATAAGTAGACTGTAATTAGAAAGTGTTAAGAGTAAAACGACCTAAAGTCTAACTCATAATTCTAACATACATCACTAAATCATATCCAATAATAATAATAATCATAATTACAATAATTATAATAATAATATATCATTGTGAATGAAAGAAAAAGAATATAAAAAAATTTTAAAAAAACATGAAAGTCTGCGTGAGATAGTGCTGGCAACACCATTTTTAACGAAAAAATTATCCTAGTCCATTGATTTTAGCCAAAAAGAAATTACTATATTATCTTGACCTTTTTAATTTTTTTTTTAAAATGATAATAACCCACATCATAAATAAATAAATAAAATAAAAACAATTAAACCATAACATGAGAAGGAACATATCATATCCAAATTCTTTTCTCTCTGACTTTTCAAATAAAATTCTTGCCCTTAAAATGGCAACACATGACAATAGAGTTTGTTTTTTTAATATAAAAATAAAAATAAAAATAAAAATAAAATGTAGCCAAACAAAACAAAAAGCAAGCAATGTAGCAGTATTACTCTCTCTCTCTCTCTCTCTCTCTCTCTCTCTCTCTCTCTCTCTCGTTTCCTTACAAAAAAATCATTTTTTGTTAAAAATTAAATTCTCACAATCACAACTCGTAAAGCCACACAGATCTAGATTTAGACATAACACAACAAATAAAAATAAGATGCACGGGACGATACCTAAATCGAAAGATGTTACGTCCCTAGGCGGAGGTGATCGAAATGACAACCAGTGGTGAAAGGTGCGGCCGCAGCGGAAAAAAGTGTGGTGCGACGGTTCAACCGAAAACGGTTTGTACAAGTCGGAAATATCAAACTCCAACTTCTTAGTGTTAGTCTTTTTCCTTATTACTCTGTTTTTTCTATCTCTTGTATGTGTGTGTATTTATGAACTTTTTTTTGTCTTTTTCTTGTTGTTTTTTCTCTTTTTTTGTGTACCCTTTATTTTTTCTAATGCATATATATATATATATATATATATATATATATATATATATATATATATATATATATATATATATATATATATATATATATATATATATATATATATATATATATATATATATATATATATCTATATATATATATATATATATATGTATGTATATATGTATGTATATATATATATATATGTATATATATATATATATATTATATATATATATATATATATATATATATATATATATATATATATATATATATATATATAGTATGTATCTATATAT